ATTGCTACGAGAGATGTCTGAGATTTTGATGCTTATGTTTTCCTCCAGGATTTTTATGGTTTCACGTCTTACATTTAAGTCTTTTATCCATTTTGAATTTACTTTCATGTATGGTGTAAGTTCGTGGTCTAGTTCATTTTTTTGCATATATCTGTCCAATTTTCCCAACACCATTTATTGAAAACACTGTCTTTACCCTATGGTATGTTCTTGCCTCCTTTGTCAGATATTGACCATAATGGCATGGGTCAATTTCTGGGTTCTATGTTCTGTTCCACTGATTTATATGTCTGTTCTGTGCCAGTATCAGGCTCTTTTGATTACAGTGGCTTTGTAGTATAACTTGTTATCTGGTATTGTGATCCCTCCAACTTTGTAATTCTTTCTCAGGATTGCTGTGGCTATTCGGGTGTTTTTTGGTTCCATATAAATTTTCGAAGCATTTGTTCTAAATCTGTGAAATATGCTGTTGGTATTTTAATAGGGATTGCATTGAATTTATAGATTGATTTGGGTAGTATGGACAGTTTAATGATATTAATTCTTCCAATTCATGAACATGGTATATTTTTCCATTTGTTTATATCTTCCTCTATTTCTTTTTTCAGTGCCCTGTAGTTTTCTGAATAAAGGTCTTTTACATCTGTGGTTAAGTTTAATCCTAGGTATCTTATTTCTTTAGTTGCAATGGTAAATGGTATTTTTTTTAGTTTCTCTTTCTGAGAGTTCATTACTGGTGTATAAAAATGTCATCGATTTCTGGGAGTTAATTTTGTATCCTGCTACGTTGCTGAATTCATTTATTAAATCTAGTAGTTTTTTTGGTGGAGTCTTTAGGATTCTCGATGTACAATATCATGTCATTTGCAAATAATGACAGTTTTGTCTCCGCCTTTCCAATTTGGATACCTTTTATGTTTTCTTCTTGTCTGATCACTGTGGCTAGAACTTCCAGTACTATGTTGAATAAGAGTTTTGAAAGTGGACACCCCTGTCTTGTTCCTGTTCATAGGGGAAATGGTTTTAGTTTTTGCCCATTGAGTATGATGTTGGCTGTAGGTGTGTCATATATGGCCTTTATTATGTTGAGGTATGATCCCTCTATTCCCACTTTGCTGACAGTTTTTATCAAAAATGGGTGTTGGATTTCATCGAATGCTTTTTCTGCATCTATTGATATGATCATATGATTTTTGTCTTTCAATTTATGTGGCGTATCACATTTATTGATTTGAGAATATTGTACCAGCCCTGCATCTCTGGAATAAATCCCACTTGGTATTGGTGTATGGTCTTTTTAATATATTGTTGGATCTGATTTGCTAATATTTTGTTGAGGATTTTAGCATCTATGTTTATCAGGGAACACTGGTTGATTTTTGTATGTGCGGTGATCAGGGATTGAACCCACAACCTTGGTGTAGTGGGATGATGCTCTAATCAACTTAGCTACCTGGCCAGGCAAATCTGATTCCAAGACTAGGTCATAAAAACAACACAAATTCCTCCTGGCTCCCTTTCTCTTGGGACACACCCTGGGAAGGAAGTCACCATACAGTAATAAAGCCCAGGCCACATAGAGAGGCCACATGTAGGTGTTTCTGCTATCAGTCCCAGTCAAGGTCTCAGCTGACAGCCAGCATCAACTGCCAGAACTATGAGTGAGCTAATTTCAGATGATTCCAGCCCCCAGACTTCCAAATCTTCCAACTGAGGCCCCAGACATCATGAAGCAGAGATTTACCCTTTTCCACCTTGCTTTGTTCAAACCAATGACCCACAGAATCCATAAGCATAAAAAATGTTTGTTTATGCCACTAAATTTTTGGGCAGTTGTTATGTAGCCATAGTAACTACATCAATGGTGATTCAATATATGCAAAAATAAAAAAACTAAAAGCAGGCCATGCATAAAGCAATGATGACATTGCATCATGAACCAAAGATGATAATTAATTGAATTCTGTGCATCTGGAATCCCTTAAGAAAAAAAGGGGGGGGGGCAGTAGGAATTATTAAAACAGATTTTTAAAAACTCAAAACAAATGTACCTAATCTTTTGATGTAAGACCAAGCTTCTTCTTTGAAGACAGAACCACTGATAGCAATTCCAAGATATATCATTTATATATACACACACACACATAGTACATTCTCCAATATTTCCAATTTTGGTTTAAGTAGAAACATGGAACAAGAACTTAAAAATGCTTACAAAGCAATCCGAGTGTAGAATTTTCCTAAATTTTTACTCTTGTCTCATTCATACTTCATTGGAAAGCAATCTCAAAAATTACCTTTACTGAATCTTTGCATAGCATTCAACTCATTTTAACCATTTCTATAATAGTTAAATTGTATAACTATAAAAAAAGCACACTGGGTCATAAACAGTTCTGGGAGCTAATAACTCACTCTAGATACGTTTTATATATGTTTGTGTGTGCATTATCTATATTATATACATATATACTTTAATTTTGTTTATAAAAAGAGGAGAAGGTACCTATTATGGGCACTCAAAGTTTGAATTAGCTTACTCTCTACCACCCAATTATGTTTTCCAGAGGTATTTTTGATACAATGTGATATAATGTAGAAAACAAAAGATTTCATAAAAGTTCTGAAAATAATAAAAAGTTAAATCACTCTGGGAAATAGGAATCTACCTTACCTTGTTTATTTTGCTAAGAGAAATCAGTGATGGGGTTATATATATTTTTTAATCCTTACCCCAGGATATTTCTTTCCATTGCTTTTCAGAGAGAGTAGAAGGGAGAAAGAAACATTGATGTGAGAGAGACACATAAACTGGTTGCCTCCCGCACGCTCCCCTACTGGGGCCAGGGATCAAGCCTACAATCTAGGTATGTGCCATTGACCGGAATCAAACCTGAGGCCCTTCAGTCCACAAGCCGATGCTCTAACCCCTGAACCAAATCAGCCAGGGCAGTAATGGGGATCTTAAAGCCACATATCTTATTACTTAAATCAATGATGTCAGTCATGTAAGATGGGTGAGGATCATCTACATTTGGTCTGGCCTTGCCAAGGACTCGAAATTCAATAAATCTAGAAGGTTTTTTCATAGCTAGTTTTTAAGTTGATAATTTTGTATGGCCCACGAATGATGTTATAAATATCCAAATGACCCTTGGCAGAAAAAATGTTCCCCAGGCCTGATGGAAGACGTTATTTATCACTACAATAAAATACTGCCATTTAAACTCTACTACAAATGCTAAAATATCACTGATTGCACTTATAATTAGTGAAATATAATACTCTTGACAAACACAAGTAATTACAATATTTTGAGAACACTACACAAGCTCAGAGCACTGAAAATTACTAGTCAAAGGAAGTCATATAAAACAGTTGTAAACAACATGCTAAAATTCCATGCTATATGGAATTTTTAAAATGGAAATTTCATATAAACAAGCCCTTCAGAGACATGAAGCTACCTTCAAATCAGGATGTAAATGATTTGTTAATTAACAACTTAAAGAGAAAATTATATGGCAGTTAATAATACTGATCAATATATGAGAATGTGTGGAATTCTCAATTACATCACACTAGATTATGTAGACAGATATTCCCATCTTACTTAAACACAGAACGATAAGAGCTGTTCTCAAGTAATTATTAGAGTTTCTGTTTACAAACTGATGTTTGGCCTCCATTAATTCACTACCTCCCATGTACTCTAATTTAAAATATTTTTAATTTAGCCTGGATGGGCAGGGCTCAGCGGTTGAGCGTCGACCTAGGATCCAGGAGATCAGGGTTTGATTCCGGTCAGGGCACATGCTTGGGTTGCGGGCTCGATCCCCAGTCTGGGGCATGCAGGAGGCAGCCAATTAATGACTCTCTTATCATTGATGTTTCTATCTCTCTCCCTCTCCTTTCCTCTCTCTGGTCAATAAAGTTATATTTAAAAAAAATTAAAAAATAAAATATTTTTAATTTAAATTTTGAAGTTAAAAAATTCTGTGAGGATGTGTAGAGCTGTAATTCATGTCTAGGTCAGAATCATTATTGACAATCACCCACCCACTACCCCCCAACCCGCACTGTCAAAAGTCTCTTAAGAGTCCACAAGTTTGCTGCAAGCTTTCTAGACTTTGGAAAACTCATCAAAAGAGCAGAACAACGGATAAACAACGGACAAAATCCACAAAGATAAAACAGACTACTGAACAGTGATTAAATGATGTAAAATTTGTAAATTGCATATAATTATATATAATGATTATTTTACTTTAAAAAGCTTCACTTTACAAAAAGCTTCAGCATAGGTTTCACATACCCAGCTTCTAAGTGCACTTAAGATGATCTGTGTACAGATATTTAGTTTGTAGTTTTTCTAGAACAGTTTGCATGTCTCTGTTTTATAGATGAATGAGTATTTTACATAAATACAAATCTATGAATCCATTTTGTTCCTTGAAACACTGGTAATAGTAAATCAACAAGCATTATCTATCAGTTACTCCTTTAGATGCTGTGCTAAATCCTGGAATGAGGCACACAGGTCCCGCTCTAAAGCAGTATGTGTCCAACAGGGAAGATAAATCAAACAAGTGAAGAATTAAGTAAAAAAGCTTGTTTTTTTTAAATGTTAGTGACAATAGGAAAAAAAGTAGAGAGATAAAGGTTTTAACAGATTAACTAGTATTCAGATAATACTCGATATAGAGAGATTCAGAACGGAGATCAGGGACAGGAGACCTAGGGAAAGCTTTGCAGAGCCAAGAGTTATTGCTGCGTTTAGAAGGCAGACAAACGTTGACAGGCAAAAAGAAAATGTATTTATCAGTCCCAAACAAAAGTACAGAGGAAGATGTATTTAGGGAAGAAGTTCTCTAATTTGAATTTGACGAAACATTTGCAAATGGACTAAAGATTTTTTAAAATTTTCTTTTCTGAAGGAAAAACTTACTGGAGTTTCAAAAAGTACTTTCAAATAACATTCAAACTATAATTCAATTTACCTCTTCCTTGGGGCATCTTCTGTAGCTTTTTGAAGTCTGCCAACTCTAGCCTCCAAACTTTTAAGCGGTCTTCTGTTGGGCGGCTTTGTGGTTTGTCCATTTACTGTGCTTAATTCAACTTTCATGTCCTTAATAATATTTAACAAATCTTTTTTCGAACTCTCCTTTACACTGTCTTGCCTCTCTGGCTGCTTGGAAATCTCATGGGTTGGAATGGATTTCCCATCTTTTTTGCTATAGATCACATTGTTAGTACCAAAATATCTTTGGATATTATTTTTTGTCCTGGAAAGATTAAAGGGAAAAAAAGAAAGAAAAAATACAATGCAAAATAATAAAGCAAGGACTCAAAAAACTGTTTCTATGTGTTTTTAAATTTTTCAATTCTAGCCCTTCCCTTTTCCTTTTTAAATTGAGGTATAACTGATATAATATTATATTAGTTTCAGGTGTACAACATGACTCAATATTTGTATATATTGCAAAATGATCACCGTAATTGATCTTGTAATTTTTATTATTGTTGTTAACCACCACAATGACAGCAATTTAACATTTATTAAACATATACTATGTGCCTAGTCTTACACAACATATTTTTGGTAAATTTTTTTCATACCTACATCAACTCCCTAAGGTAGGTATTATCCCCATTTTGCAGATAAGGAAACTGGAAACCAGAGAAGTGAAGTAACTCACCCAAGGTCATGAAGCTCAGAGCTCAATAAGGCCTAAAACACACTGGTGTGCCACAAATGGGTTACAGATGTGCTGAGACATTGATCACCTAGTCCTTGGGGTGACTGGGTAAGGCCTGGAACTGCTCGTGTGCCTGTCTGTTGCCTCCTTCCACTCACCGCGGGGTTTGGTACAAATATCACTTTCTATGTGCTCAATGACATTTAAAAAAGGTTGTGAAACACTGACATGGTTAATAAATTTCAATTTATTATTTGAAAACTCAAATCTGACTGACTGACAAGGCCTTGCTCTTAATATGATACAATAATACTTCCTTTAAAAGTTATAAATAAACAATATGAAAATAAAGAAATTTCTATCTAAAAAAGGTTACTTTCTGTTGAAAAAAATTCTGGCTATTATTCTAATCTGGTTAACTTTCTCATCGAGTTATGTGCCATTTAACCAATCACCATTTGTAAGCTAAGCTAAAATGGAACAGAAAAAAGAGTATTTTGATATTTGACAAAACTAATGACTGTGTTAGTTTCAGGAGGAGGGTATAGTGTATAAAAAGTCATTCATTAAAATAGCGAATAACTACTGTGTGCTGGGCACTACAGTAGGCACTAACAATATATTAGTCAATAAGAATTTTATTGTCCCTATCTTGAAGCAAACAGGACAGAGCACTGTTTCTCAAACTTTAAAATGTATAGGAATTACCCTAGACGACTTGTTAAAACACAGACTCTTTGGTCCCACCAAGAAATTGTGATTCAGTAGCTTTGAGAAAGGATTTGAGAGTTTGTTTTCTAACAAGTTCCCAAGTAATGCTGATGGTACCCATCAGAGGACCACATTTGAATAACTGTGTTATGTATGTTACTGAAATCCTTAAAATCCAAACAATTTTATTATTCCTGTTTTACAGAAGAACTACTGTTCAAAGAGGTAAGTTAATGGTTCTTAACCTTTAGAGATCATATGAATCACTTAGGAGCTCATTTAAACTCAGATTCCAGAGATTCTTAGTTGTTAAGTTTGGAATGGGGTTCAAGGGTCTGCACTTAACCAAGACCCCAGGTAATTCTGATGCAACTGATCTCAAATACCCTGCATCAGACCCTGGGTTAAATACTGTATCAAGTTCTCAAAGCCAGCAAATGGTAGTGCCGGGTTAGGGACCCTTTAATGAAAAAGAAAATGGCTATTTCAAAAAATGCTAAAACAAACTATTTGAGCTGCTTATAAAAATGTCAGAGACTAATACATCAGGAACTTAAAAATTAGAATGAAAAACCTATTGCATAACTAGTATCCTCATATTACTCAACTTAGGATAATGCTCTAATTATTATTTCACACACGAAAGTTAAATTAAATTAAAGGTATAACAGAAAGGTGGCAATTGGGAGAATGAATCTCACATATAACCCATATTTCAATGTTTCTTTCCAAGACTGCTATAGTACCCTGGAAAATATACTTATATCATGAAAATCATGTCTAGGAAGCAACTCCATAACACTAAACTAATAAAACTCTAGCTCTAACCTCCCATCTGAGCATGTTCCCACTGAGAGTATCTCATTAGCACTTCAAATGCAACACATCCAAAACCATACTCAAGAACTTCCCTCTCAGACTGATTTTCCATTTCACACTTTTGTACTGAATGGGCCTCTTACCATAGATATTTTTGTATTCTAAAAACTGTGACATATTTAAAAGCCTTCTCAAAGCTGCTCCTCATTCTTCTGCTAACATTAGGTACCCTAATCCTTCCAGGCAACCAGCTGAAATCTTTGCTCTGACTACACTACCCTTATATGTCACGTATTATCAATTCTACCAATGCAATTTTTTTCCTCCATCCAGCTACTTCTTCCCATCACCACGGCTACCAACCTACTTCAGTGCTGTACTTACCACAGTGGCCCCAAATCGTCCTGCATGGAATACATGCAGAATTAAGTTTTCATAATCATTAGAGTTCCCAGAGAATAAATACCAACACCAAGTTTGCCACATCTCTTCTTGCCTGTCTAATTCCAACCCTTGGTCTGCCTTCAGATTATTTCAGATTTCTTCTCCAGAAAGTATACTCTGAAATTCTCCTACAATGGTTAGGTGTCCCTATTTGCTCACTCAGCAATTATTAAGTTAATAGAGCATTCTGTGCTACCGATAGTATCTTACCTATTACCTTACTTAAATTGCCTCCTTGGTGTAACTGTAAGCAACGTGATGGCAGGACTGTCCTATTCGGGGCTTAAAACTAGTGCTAGCACACTGCAAGCACTTTCAATAATAAAGAATCAGTGGGGGCAGGAATGTGATTGAGACCATCACAGTCTTGAGAGGCAAAAAAATAAAAAGTAAAACTTCGCTTCTGGACAAAATGAGGGGAGAAGTGGCATGAAAGAAGTGGCGCAATGTGTCACAGATAGAGCACAAGACAGCAGACCAGGAATGTAACCGTAGCTGTTTCCCACGGACACTATGACCTTGGGCAAGTCATTTTACCTTTCTGGGATTTCCCTTTCCTCAGATTTAAAGCAACGGCTTCTAAGATCCCGCGGGTTTTAACGTCGACCTCAGGAAGCCGGAGAATAACAACTGAATACGCCGGAGGGGCAAGGGGGTTGCCTGAACAACTGCGGGGCCAACAGCGCTGACATGCGGTACCTGACGGGTCCGTGCGGAGCACCGAGTAGCACAGTCGCGGGCGCCGACCCCTCTGGGCCTCCAGGGCACAGAGGGAGGCGGGAAAGAGGGCGAAGAGGTAGGATCGCAGAGACTCTTGGAAACATTGCCCAGAAACAAAGCGACATGCGAACGGGAAAAGCGTGTCGTCGGCCAAACGCGTCCCCCGCCTCTCTCGTCCGTTCCTCGGCCTGACGCGTTCCTCTCCATTCGCGTTCCGGCGGACAACAGCGTCCGCTAACCGTGTTCCGGCCTCGCCCGCGGTTCCGCCGTCGCGGCGAGTCCGGTCGCAGAGGTGGCGTCGGGGGTGGAGTTTAGCGCGGATGCGTCGGTTGAGGCGGGACCCCGAAGGGAGAATGGAGGGACCCGTCAGCTGTGCACACGCTGCAGGCGGGCCAGTAAGATGAGGCGGAGAACTGCCCGTGCCGTGCAGTGTTGCGGGGAGAAGACCCGGTGTTCATTAACGGTCTCAAAGTGGCGGGCAGGCGGGGCTCGGGGTTGAGTTGCGACCGTGAACCCAGGAACCGGGAGGTCAGGGTGGGCTCCTGTCGGGGCGCGTGCCCGGGTTGCGGCCTCGTCCCTGCGGGCGCGTGCAGGAGGCAGCGGATCAGTGACTCTTTTTCATCATTGATGTTTTTATCTGTCTCTCCCTCTTTCCTCTCTCTGAAATCAATAAGAAAACATTAAAAAACAAAAAAAGTCTCAAAATGGCCCTGGCAGGTGTGATTCAGTGGTTCCGGCGTTGGGCCGGCCGCACCCAGGGATCGCTGGTTCGATTCCGGTCGAAGGCAGGTACCTGGGGTGCAGGCTCTTCCCTGCCCGGAGGGGGGCAAGTGCGGGGGGCACCCCGTGGGCGTGTCTCCCTCACCCCGCACTCCGCTCTTTCTCTCCTCCCGCCCTCCCTC